AAGTTTATATAAAGTCCTCTGTGACCCCTGACACTGCCAAACCTTCAGTTTATAAGATACTGACTTGGTCCACATCTCCAGCTCAGAACTCTCTTTCCTGGTCTGTATCCATGATTCCCAATGCCCAGAACAAACCAAAGGAGGTCAGATTTGAACTTACCCCACTGTCAGATGATATGATGATATTCTGCAAGCACAAGGAGAGAGAGAGAGAGAGAGAGAGAGAGAGAGAGAGAGAGAGAGAGAGAGAGAGAGAGAGAGAGAGAGAGAGAGAGAGAGCTGGGAATGTCACATGGCTTTTAAACTTTAAAACCCATCCCCAGTGACATATTTCCTTCAGCAAGATCACATATCTTTAACCTACCCAAACAGTGCCACCAAGCGTATGAGCATCTGAGCTTATGGGGGACATTCTGATTCAAAACAGCACATGTCTTAAGCCTACATGTTAGAAAATCCTACAAATTGCACCCTGACAGGGCTTCTGGGTCAACAACTGGAAGACTTCCAAGCAGGCAGTTTTGATTTGTTAGAAGTGTAACACTTGTGTCAAGACACAGCTCTCTTTCCTCTTCTTATGAACAAAAGATTCTGATCTGGAAAGTCCATATTGAGACTTTATCATCTAAGGGACATCAGAGAGTCTCCTCTGAGGCCCAGGACACAAGACCAGTGAGCCAAGGTTCTTCCTGACCCCTGTCAGTCAAGGGCTGCTATTCCCATGAGTGAAACTTATATGTACTGTAGGCTGTTGCCATAGACATGAATGCGCGAGCGGAGAGCCTGGAATACATATAGACATGCGAACTGCGAACACACGCATAAACACTTTGCATTCAAGTGTTGAGTGAGCATTCATAAGCACATAAACACAGTTGTACATGTATTCACAGTGTGGCACATACTCGTGCATTGTAGTCATATGGCATTTGTGCCCAAGTCGTCCTGATGCCTTACTTTCCTTTGTCTCTGCACAATCGTTTCTTCTTATTTATTGAAGAAAATCTTTTTATACAATATGTTCTGATCACAGTTTCCCCCTAAATCCTCCAAGATTCCCCCCACCTGCTCACCCACCCAACTCCACATCCTTTCTTTCTCTTTAGAAACAAATGGGATTAAAAAAAAAAAAGATCACATGAAGCACACAGACTCATAAAAATAAGACCCATAAAAGCAGAAGGTCAGATCGTTCGGGAAGCAGTCATTGACTTATCTGTTCACTGGGTTTCTTAGCTCTGCTCCCACCTCCCCAGACTGCCCCATACCTTCTGTGATGATCACGGCTTTCTCCTAGCTGCCTCCTTGTACTTGATAGTCCTCTGTATGTCTCAGGGTCTTCGAAAACACAGGTGGCAGTCAAAAGGGCACCTCTAAGAAAGGGCAAGCTTCTCCACTCGGAGACTGCACTCACACAGTTTTTGAGCCCATGTGGGTCCCTCTTTCCCAGCCATTCCTTGCCACATAAACAACTTCAGACCTAGTTCTTCATTCCCAGGTGAGAAATCACTGTATCAAAAGGATGACCGTGACTGTCTTAACAATCATTCTCTGTACAGCAACAGTAGCCTACATTTCCCATAGAGCTACTGGATCATCCATCTTCCAGTGCCTTTATTAGTTTTGGAGAGGATACAAACCAACCAACAAAACCAAAACAGAAGCAAACAAAAAACCAAAACCACATAGCTTGGTCAGTAAAATGCTAAAATGCTTACTACATAAGCATGAGGACGTGCGCTCCACCCCAGGATCCAGGTGGAAAAGTCAGGATGGTGCTGACGTGTAATGTCAGCACTGGGGAGGTAGACACAGGCAGAGAGAGAGAGAGAGAGAGAGAGAGAGAGAGAGAGAGAGAGAGAGAGAGAGAGAGAGAGAGAACCTTGCATACATAGTGCACACCAGGCCAGTGAAAGATCCCATGTGAAAGAAAAGCAAATGGGACCTAAGGACTTATATCCAAGGTTGACCTCTGGCCTCCACATGCACATACACATATATGTCCAAACACATGTTCACACACATACACACACACATGTAATGGGAGAGACAGACAGACACAGAAACATGCGAACACACACACGCACACACAGGATGGGAGAGAGACAGACAGACAGACAGACAGACACACACACACACACATGGGATGGGAGATAGAGAGATGAGGAGGGAGAGGGAGGGAGGGAGGAGGGAGAGAAGAAGGGAGAGGGAGAGAGAGAATAGAGAGAGAACCAAAAAAATCCAAAACAAAACTTAACTAACTTGAAAATGTTTGTCACTGTGCTTTGAGCTTTATTTTTTCTTTAATTCTTTTTCAAGATTTTGACATTTATTTTTTATTATTTATTTGCGTGTGGGGTATATGTGCATGAGTGCTGTACCCTAGGAGACTGGAGAGCAGAGCTAGGACCCCTGAAACTGGCAGAACAGGTAGCTGTGAGTTGACGTACAGGTGCTGGGAATCAAACTTGGGTCCTGTGGAAGAGCAGCGAGTGCTTTTAACTGTGGGGCCATCTCTCTAACCCCTATGCTTTGAATGTTTAATTCTCGGATTATGAATACCATTGAAGACATTTTCTCTTCACTGCCCGTTCATGTTTGGTCTTCTGTGATCTGGACTTGGCCTGGCTACACTCTCTTCTCCTTCTGTGCTGACCCTTTCTCCTGATGCTCAACATCGGTCCTGGCCGTCTCCTGCAGCCATATGGTAGAACATGGAATGCAGCAGAACGTGGGTGGACAATTGGTGATAGCCAGCTGCCTGGTGCCAGTCTTCACTAGCGCAAGAGAGCTGAAAACAGGGTCACACACATGTCATCCCAGCTACTTGGCTGAGGCAGGAAGATCCCAGAACTGAGACCTGACTGAGCCTCAGAATGAGTTTAGATCCAGCCTGGGAAACTTAGCAAGTCTAATATGTGTGTGTGTGTATGTATATGTATATATATGTATATATATATGATAAAAGAGCTTGAATATAGCTCAACGATAGAGTACTTTCATATGCACGAAACCCTAAGCTAATATCCAGTAACCACCCCCTCCCAAAATAGGAAGTCAAAGAGCGATGGATAAGACTATAAGCTAAAATCTAGCTGCTTGAGATGGCACCGGCTTCCTGTCTACCTGCTGTGTGACGTTCCCTTGTCAGCGAGATGATAAAGATGCAATCTATATAATAGAGCTGTGTTAAGAGTTCAAGGCCAAGCATGTGACTTAACTTCCCGCACGTAACACTTTTAAAAACACAATATTTTTAGTAATTCTCTGACAATTTCATACAGTGTATTTTCATTATACTCACCCCCACTTCTCCTCTTAACTCCTCCCAGAACCACCCCCTCACCCCCTCACCCACTCACAAGTCTGTACCTGTTTGCTCATGCTCGCTCTTCTCTCTTGCTCTCTCACTCACTCAAAATGTCTCATTTACACAGCCACATACTGATGGATGCAAACTATCGGCTGGAGCGTGGTTGACCTACTGGAGGCAACACCCTGAAAGAAAACGGACTCTCTCTCCTCCCCAGAAGCCGTCAGCTGTCAATAGCTTCTCATTTGGAGGGGGAGTTGTGAGCCTCTCCCTCTCTTGCTGGAACGTTGCTTGGCTTGGTCTTGTGCAGGTGGACACCAGTGGCTGTGAGCTCCTGAGTCCTGGCATGTCCAGAAAACACTGTTTTGCTTCAGTCCTCCCAGAATTCTGGCTCTAAGAATCTTTCCACTCGTCTTCTGCCATGCCGTGATATAAATGTCCCATTTGTGATGGAGCACTCCATTGACGTGTACACTGTACTTCAATAAGTCACACACTTCTTAACTGTTAAGTATGGCTGCAACTACTGTGGCCATATAAATGGTCACAAACTTAGGAACTTCATTGCCCTACCCTGCATTTCTTCCCTTGTTCTTCAGGAACCTTCTAGAAAATATAGAAAGTGATTGTAAAGAAACCTAGCAGTTAGCAAGAAAATTTCTCATAACGGATAGAAAACATGGCATACTGCCTCTCCTTTCCTTCCCTATGAGAAAGTTTACCCCAGCTGCTTCTTCTCATCCACCCAGAGAGACCTGCTTCTTTGGGTCACATAAGGCATGCGTGAACACAAATACTGAATTCACTCTAGCAATACCAAATATTGGTATTGTTTAACAGAGTTTGTGATTATGAAACATTTTATCCCATTTCACCTCTTCTAATGTGATCTTCTAGTTGGAGGTTGATTTGATGTGGGGAATATGTATGATATGTTGTATATGTGTTTGCATGTATATGGTGAGAGAATCCTAATATCAAATAGGATTAGTAAATTTCTCATTGAAGCATGTTGGATAAGATAAGTGGTGCCCATGTGGATATGGCAGCTGAGAAGGCATCTGTGTGAATTCCCATGTTTTGACTTCACCACCATCCATAGTGGAAAGGAAGATCTTAAAGGGCTTGCTTTCCATGGGGCGTTTTCCAGAAATGTTGCCTTAGAAAGTGGAAAAGATTTTTCAAGCGTCAGGCACCTGAGAAGGTTTAAAAAAAAAACTCTGGATGGCCAGAGTTTTTGGTGACTAGATTAAAGAAAGAGTATTGAAATTTGTAAAAGGTGCTATGTATATATGAATGAAAACAGATGTTTTTATTGCTACACCGAATGGGATGATTTGTGCTTTTGATGAAAGAAGCATATTTTAAATACTTAATTAAAAAGAAGTAAATATTCTGCAGTCATCCACCCTATATAAATTTCTAATGAGATATTCATTTGGGGTATTTTATCAAAGAAGCGACTTCCTGACTTTGTCCGAGATAAGGGTCCCAAAGCAATAGTGCCCCCCTCCCCTGAACTTCTCTCGATGGTGACCTTGGTGGCAGCCCACTCTTCCCTGAATCTTCTCATCTCTCCCACTTAAGAAAGTGCAAATGTGACAATCCTAACTTCTTTTCTCTCTTCCTCCCTTCTTCCTTTTCCTTCTCCATTCCCCTGCCCCATGTTTCCTCCCTTCTTCTCCAGGAACCTTCTGCATCATTTCACTGTGCACCTGTGTGGCTGGGATCAACTTTGAGCTGTCACGTTACCCACGCTACCTATATGGACTCCCGGATGACATCAGCCACGGCTATGGATGGTCCATGTTCTGTGCGTGGGGGGGCCTGGGCCTCACACTAATCTCGGGATTCTTCTGTACCTTGGCCCCCTCTGTCCAACCTGTCCCGAGGACCAACTGCCCTAAATCCAGACCAGAGAATGGGACAGTGTGCTAAAAAACAAACCCATACATATATATATATATATATATATAAATATATATATAATATACATATATAAAATGAAACTCAGTCAAGATGATGCCAGTGCCAAGGTAGAGTTGAGTTGGCTCAGGCACCTGCATCTCATCAGACTTTGTGTTGCCTCATTTCCAAGATGGGAAAAGTGTTCCCATCCCGTGGCTCTCTCTCATCAGTTCTTGACTTTGGCTTCATGTTTTCTTCAAGACAGTGAAAGCCGCCACCTGCGCTAGCATCTTGATCCCTGTCACTCATAAGGATGTGGCGGTGAACTGGAAGGGACAGAGGCAGTGGTCTGGAGCAACACAGATACAGAGAAGGAAGCGCTACTCTCTGGGCCAGCAGGAAAGGCCACCACCACCCCAGCCATCATATCATGGGGAAACTCAGTCCCTTGAGTTCATAGAATGTAACCACATCTTTGAGGCCATTTTTCAGAACCACTTCTCTGCTCTTCCTGTTCTGAGCCCCTTCCCAGCCCACCAGCGACACACCAAGAGTGGAAGAGAAAACAGACTGAGAAGGAAGTTTTCTCTTTGTGGCCAAACCTTTGGACAATGTCTTAGAGGTGGGAAGGGGGGAGAACATGCTGAGAGGCAAGATCAGCATCAACAAAAGGACATTCCAGTGGATGCTCAGAAAACCCAGTCTTACCTTCCAGCTGCCTTACACCCAGTTAAACAAGAGGCCACCCTGTCCTCCCCTGCCTGCGTTCTCTGGGCAGATCGAGCCTTTGAGCAATGCTGTGATGTGTGTGTGCGTGTGTGTGTGTGTGCACATGTGCATAGGTGTTGGGTGGTTACCTTTTTCTTTTCCACTCCTTGAATGGAAATATCATCTTATTCTGTTGTCTCTCTTTCTCTCGCTATTATTATTTTTGACCCAATATGGAGGCCCCAAGATCCGGGAATTATCTTGAAAGGCAGGCCTTCATGGGTGCCAATGCAGCAGCTTCAGATGCCTGGAGAGAGACAAAAGTGTGCATGTGTGTGCGTGCGTGTGTGTGTGTGTGTGTGTGCCCATGCACATGTGTATGTGCATGCACATGTGCTGGATATTTCCTGAGTATGGGGGTTTTATTGTTTGTGTTGCACTTTTTCTATGATTTCTGGTACAGCTGAAATTCCCAGAGGGCAAAACCAAGAACAAAACCACTGGGCCAGAGAACCCCGTGGCACTTCACAGTACGGTTCTGGAACTCTGCAAGATTTAGTCCACTAATTTCGGAAGCTCAAGACACAGCTGGGCACAAAAGTCCTAAGAGAAGAGGGGGAACATACAGATCAGGAAAGAGAAGGAATATTGCCTCTGGCTGCTGATGTACAAGTAAATATACCAAACAAGACCTTCTGTCCCCGCCGTGGGGGCTGTCCTTTGTCACTGGACATCTGCTCCTTTTCTAGGGGTGAGCCCTGTACAGATGACAGGAAATGGGCCACATGCAGAGAGAGCACCTCCATGTCCCATGGGCTCGAGTTTGTATGATATTATGTAAATTAATGGAGAATTCTCGACTCTTTCCATTCTAGTCCCTTTCCTCTTGATCTTTAAGGCCACGAATCCCCAAATAGTGATCTATTTTAGGGGCTAGCACCGAAACTGAGGTGGAGCAAGACCATCCAGCTCACTTGAGCAAATTGGCACTGAGTGCTGGCAAGTGAAGCAAAGTTAGCCGGAGCTGTGAATGCCACATGGCAGGAGTAACTCATGGTTACCTTGGGGACCCTGCTGGTGCCAAGTGTCCCTGGGGAGGCAAGGAGAGAATCCTGAGCTGGTGCAGCTGTGGTCAGCCATGCAGATGGGGAGTTCAGCTGCTGCAGAATGGGTCTGCTTTGGGAACGTTGCCAACCACTCAGCAGCCTTCCTCCCTCAAGTGCTCCACTGCAGCTCCCTGTTCCTGACCTTTTTTCCTACCAGACGCCTCCCCTCTCACCTACCAACAGTTTCCCTCCCCTTCCCCCACCTGCCAGGTTATTCATCTCATCTGACCTTTCTCTCCCTCTCCCCCCTCTTTCCCTCTTCCCTTCTCTCTCTCCCTCTATATCTCCCTCCCTCCCTCCCTCCCTCCCTGTGTGTGTGTGTGTGTGTGTGTGTGTGTGTAATCCTATCAGGGTATGATGTCTGATGGGCTTCATGTGGGTAACTTTTTGTGTGCATCTTTCTGATGCTGTGTGTGTGTGTGTGTATACCTATATAGAGGTATGGATGCATTTCTCAAGACTCCCTCATCAGGGCCCTGGTCAGATCCTACAGAAGCTCTTACATGTGACTACCCCGAGTGTAGGGGTGCCGGGAGAGCAGGGGCAAGCTGGGTGTTAGGGAATGCTGCTGGCTTCCAACTGAGATTCTAAGAGTTGTTCTTAAGATAAACAGTGTATTCCATGATAGGGGAAATAATCTTCAGAAAAAAAAACTCAGTTTTTTTAATAGAGAATTTTGTTTTTTTCTTTTCCTTTGAAAAGATAAATTTTTCTCTTAAGGTGAAGGACATTCTTGGGGCTGGAAAATGGAAGTATCTCAGATTGAGAGGGCTTTTGTCTTCCTCCAGATTATCTTGACCTGGGCAGGGACAAGCAGGTGTCCTTGAACATCCACTGAGGCACAGAACTTGTTGGGGATGGAATATTAATTCCAGCTCTTTTGCAGTTGCAAAAAGATGGAGGAAGCTAAGCCAAATGGGGCAATTTGCTGTTGACTATTTAAACTTCTCTTAAGTAAACTTGTTTGGACAAACAAGTTCACAGACCTCTCATTTATACCTTTATGCCTTGGTTTTCTTTTTAAAAAATCATATTCATCATAAACAGAGCATCTGCTCTACCCAATTGCCCAACTCTGTGGCAAACTTAATAAAACTTTTTGGCTTCTTTGAAGCATGCACATAATAGACAGATCCCAGCGAGGAGATAGTGTCTCTGGCTCAATTAATTTTACCCCAATCGGCAGAACAGGACCTTAGGGTCACTTTGTCATTATTCCTACCAGACAGACACAGACACACACATGCTGGGTTCTGTAGTACTTAGCAACAAAGACAAGCCATGGCACCCGATCAGGACAGAAGTCCCCACAATGATGGGAGATAGCAATCTCTGTTTAGGTGGCCAGAGCCTCCCATCACAGGTTATTGACCCCTGGTTAGAATAAGCCACTCTGACGCAGATTCTGGAATTTTTCTGGCTGTGAGGTGGCTAGGGAGTGAGTAGAAGAAAAATCAAAGAAGTCTTGGTGTGGGGCACACTCTAGTTCGGACTCCACTAACTCTAAATCATAGACCCCAGCCTTCTGAGGTGACTGAGAGCCAGTGGCCTCTGAGAGACCTGCAGCTCCTACCCAGGTCAAATTCAAATTCTTTCTGCTGTGTGTGTACAAGGACCGTGATTGCACATGCTGTGGGCCCTGTGCTAACCAACAGCCTGAGCGCAATTTCCACATTCATTGTTCATTTCCTCGCTCACTCCTAGGTCAGAGATTTGAGGAAGTTGGGGCCTAGCTGGGAGAAAGTGTAATTCCTCGCTGGGGAGTTATGGTTCATTTTCTATTTTCTTCTCCCTATGGCTTTCCTTATAATCAGTTTGTGACAGTTGCCTTCTTAGGGAGGAGAGGGACTTCAAGCCCCTTCTCCTTGTTTGTCATGGCCTGAGGTCTCACAAGGATGTGTGTGGATCACTGACATCAAAATATAAGAAAGAAAATGTCTGTTTCACTTTCGAAAGCATAACTAGATAGCTCTTCCAGATGAAGATCAGCCCTCTTTAGCCTCAGGTCCCCGAATGATTCCCTGGGCCCTGACACTATGCTGGTGTATTATCCCTCAGGTGAGGGTTCTATCCAAATGTGTCACTTTTCCTTCATAAGAGAGGGCACCCTACGACTTTGCATTTCCTTGGTCATCCATATACATGATAAGAGACCTAACAGGAAAATGCCGCATGTGTTTTCCTGACTTCAGGAAGATGTGCCATTGAGGTCTCAAAAGCTGCCCACCTAGTAAAATTTGGAATAATGGAGCCAAATCATTGCTCAGAGCATTCGGCTTCAACTGTCTTAGGCTGGGAACATCCATCCACTGATTTCAGTCACGTAGTGGAAGAAGTGGGGATCGACCCAGACACCCTCTGTCTTTATGTGGACTATCGGTTGCTTCTCCTAGTTCAAGGCAATCTTCTTTTCTGAAAATGCGTCTGCTGCTTCTGGGCTGATTTGCCCCAGTGAGCACATCCATCCCTCTCCAGGGAAACATGATGAGTCAGAAGAACGGCACACAGACAGGAATGGTGAAGCAGAGCTCAGCTGGACCAGCCTTGGTGCTGTCTTCCAGCTCACACAGACAGAAGAAAGGGACGGACTTTTTAAAGCAAGTTCAGCAGAGCAGATGCATACAAAAGATCTTGACGTCTCTCAGACTGTTGACTTTGGGGGTTATGCTTACCATCTTTTCATTGATGTGTCTATGCCCCCAAACATTTCTTTGACATTGTTCCTAGTCCTTAGACCAGATTTTTACAAGTTATTGAGTTTCCCTCGTGAGGAATACATGCTCACTGTAGAAAACTAGAAAAAAAATAGCATACAAAAGACTGAGAGACCGATCATAAGCCACCCATCCCTCTGAGGCCTCTATAGTGGGCCCAGCCATAATGGCCAGAACCTCAGAACCTCTTCAGTGAGTGGTTGTCACTGAGGGAATAAATGGGGCCAGGAGGACATGGCATGGCCACAGAACTGTGATTGGCATCAGTGATTCTGTGTTCTTGGCAACAACACAAGTCCCAAGGACAGCAAGGAGGCCTTCGAAAGCTCAGGCCAGAGCGATAGAATACTGTTTAGGTCTATCTATCTATCTATCTATCTATCTATCTATCTATCTATCTATCTATCATCATCCATCTATCATCCATCTATCATCCATCCATCTATCCTTCTATCTATCTATATCTCTCTATCCCCTACTTATCCTTTTGTTTCAGGTGCCATCTCAATCTCATCATGAGTACACACTCACTAACTAAGCTACA